ATAAAGAACTCGAACAGGTTTGTATCTACACATGTTTGGTAAAACTGGTAAAACCCTGGTAAAACCAGCCGCTCATTTTACCAAATAAACCGTTAGGTGAAAATTTTACCACCAGCACCGAACGATAAACCGTCAAAAAAATTCAGATGGCGATGAAACTCCCGAAGCAATACCACGATGATTCAGTGGCACTAGCATTCGCCGAAGAGGTCGGTGCACCGCTACCCGTTGACTTTGATTGGCGTTCTCGATCGATGGTGACTCCGGTGCGAGATCAAGGTGTCATTTGGCAGCTTTACTACCACCAATTACTTACCCGCCCTTTACTTACCCTTCAGGAAATCTTTGGGAATCTTTCTTTGCAGACAAATGCAATTCGTGTTGGGCGTTCGCTGCCGTGGCCGTGATCGAAACATTTTGGGCGATCAAAACTGGCCAAATGCAAGATTTGTCAGAACAGGAGCTGATCGATTGCGATATCAACAGCGACGGATGTCGATATGGCTATCCGGCAACTGCCTATTTGTATGTTACTCGCTCGCTAGCCAGTATTCAGTGTAAAGCTTTATTTTGAAGTGTTTTCAAGGGTTGCCGAACGTAAGGGTATGCTCCACGAGAGTGAATTGCCCTATATGGATTCCAGAGGACCAGAATGTCCTAAACAAAACGGCTCTGTGTTCGTCAAATCCATCCAAAAGATCAAATCGAACGCCCACGCAATCGCCGACTATGTCTACAACTATGGACCTGTTTCAGTGAGTACGTTTTCCGGACTGATACCAACTAAAAATTTTGTGCTCTAGCAGCCATAAATTATTATTGTCCGGTTTAATCATCGAGATTGACACCAAAAAATTCGGATTGGTCACTTCGGTCTTGCAGATTTTCGAGTGACCATGCCATTCTATCACTACACGGTGGGCATATTTCGGCCCAGCGCCGACGAGTGCAATCGCTCGAATCGATACCACGTGATGACCATTGTCGGTTTTGGACAAGTGGCCGATCAGCCGTATTGGATCCTCAAAAACAGTTGGGGCACAAAGTTTGAACAACTTAGCATTTATTTTTTATTGTTATTTTTTGGTTGTTTTTTTTTTCTCATATCAAATCACACAACAAACCGCCCGCCAAGCGGACAGATGCTAACAATGAGCACGATTTGAATTTGAAATCTGTTTACCGCGCACCCTCCCGGAGAAGAAGCGCCAAAATGAGCATGGGAAGTCGTGCCACAAGCGAAACCGCTATTATTATTATTATTTTCATTTTTTTATTAATATTACGGCTAAAATTATTTTTATTAATTAAAAATTTTTTCAGTTGGGGTGATGAAGGATATATTCGC